TGCAAATATCTCCCTGCAGAGGGGAAACCTAATGTTGCAGGAGAAAATGAGAGGACCAGTGGCTTCCAAGTGCTGTTTTTCAGTAGATGCACCTACTCTCTGGAATTGGCTTTGCCCAGGACTTCAATTTCCCCCTGCATTGTTGTCCTTCTATTAAAGGCTATTAAAATGGAGCCCTTGAAGTTTGAATTGATATCATCAGTTATAGAGTAGCATACACTAGGACTGATATGGTTGTCTGGTTTATTTTTACCATTTTTTAACTCTTTATACTGATGGATGTTGTAAACTGCAGCAAGGCTCTTTGACTGCAGTGGTGATAAATTCAATCAATCAGTAAATTTATAAGCTTGCAGGTGTTGGAGAAGCATGGAAATATTTTCTACATCACTGGCACACCCAAATTCAATTGTAGTAGAACACAGACTGTTGGTCATTGTTTATGTCATGGGTACTTCCTTCATAACCCTAGCCATGGAGGCTCACTTGGTTGCTTTGAACCAACTCAAGTGAGCTCCCATGGCTAGGTTTCCCTGCCTCTAGCCAGTAACCACTGCACCACACTCATTCTCTGATCAATGCATTTGATTAGATGCATTTGGGAAGACCTAGAACTAAAACAAGTGCAGCTCTGGAAATAGGGTGATGAATGCAAGCTTATAAATTTACTGATTGATTGAATTTATCATCACTGCAGTCAAAGAGCCTTGCCCTACTGTCCCACTGTCCCCTACTGTTGCCATGGCCAAAGCAACCCTTGCTGCTGCAGTCATGAGCCGGGAGTTTTCAGGTGTCTAAATTCATTACTATTATTTTGGGTAACCACATTTTTGTGCATTCAACTTTTTACTGTGTGCACAGGTTTGATCAGTAGCGTGCGCATATGCACCTTAGCGGGAACATAACTCTCAGCTCAACCTACCTCATGGGTTTGTGGTGGGTAAAAAATGGAGGAGCAAGTACTATGTACACTGCCTTGAGCTTCTGGAAGAAAGGTGGGATGTAAATTTAACCACCACCACCACCACCACAGCAATAAATTCCTCCTCCATTTTTCTTCATAATTCCACTGCATGCACAGTGTAACTGACACAGAGACCCAGATACCAGCTTTATTTCAAGGGCTGGCCTTTCTTCAATCTTTTTCTGAGATAGATTGCTTTTCTTTGCAGGGAGCACTACTTCTATGAACAATTGTACCACCTACCTGCTACAGGCGAGTGAATCTCAGTGCCCAGCAAACAAGTCTGGGAGCAGCACCTATTACACATGCGAGCTGAATACAACCTATGGTGCCCGTGCCAATAAAAGAATCAGAGTGACATATTTTCGCATGGGTAAGCGTCTCATTGGATGTAACACCTGTTTTCTGACTACTGTGGGTAGATTCAATAAACATCCCAGGAAGCATGTAGTACTAGATTTAGAATAAGGTATTTAAAATAACAGGCTTTTTGCACAAATGATTCTTGCTCGACTGCTGTTTCAGATTGGAAGGATCAGGGATGGAATAGCAATGAATGCAGACAGAATTAAACTGTGAAGGGGTTGTGGCAAGAGACAGGATCAGGAACCCAGGAAAGTGAGAAGGGGATTTTGGGTGATGCAGTAGTTCCAGACTTGGACCCATGGGAAACTTATTCATTTCTTCCACTGGATTCTAAAACTTTTTCAAACTTCAGCTGCTTATTTCAGATTTTGCTCTTAAACTTTTTTTATAATCACTTTATTAATTTTTTTAAAAGAACAACAAAATACTAACCAAAACTAATATTAAGAATAAAAAATAAGAAAAAAAGAAAAAAAATGAAAAAAGAAAAAATAATAAAAACCAAAAGTGCAGAAAAGCAAACAACAAAAAAGAATTGACTTCCGACCCACCCCACCACAGGTATAAGTAACAATATACATCTAACTCTTGCTTTAAGTTTTCTACATAATTTCCATTATTTCTATTAACCCATATTATTTCTGATCATCAAACCTATACAACATAATTTCATTTTTCTATATCCCACAAAAATTCCCTCCCCCCCCAAAAAAATCCAGTTAATACTAAAATTACCCAAAGTCTTATCTCAAATCAGAACTGTCAATTTCACCATCTTGGCCAACTCCATCAACCATTGTTCCACTATAGATAATATCTTTTCTTTCCACCTCTATGGATTTAAAAACCTTGCTGCTGTTATCATATATAAAAAATAAAATTATGGATAATGTCATTCCTTTCACCTTTATGCATATAAAAACCTTACTACTATTGTCATACACAAGAATAGGAAAAAAGAAATTAAAAAAAGTTGAAGGGGGGGGGATATTTCTAAGTTTTCAGCTACTGAACCTTTGATATAGCATGCCTTACAGCTGGTGGACAATCTTCATGTGATGTGGTGAAGCATCCTGGACTGCAGACATCGAAAACTCCCCACAGCCATCTGTAAAATTTGCAGAATAGATTACAAGATGGTGTAAACAAATGCTTTTGTGCCAACTGTTGTAAAGATACAAGGAGAAATACTTTATTAAAACAGACTAAAGAACAGAGCAAACAATAGAAGCAAAACATTTTAGGACTGAGGTCCAGACTGGTCAAGGAAAGATTAGAACATACACTGTGTGGAAGAATTAGTGTCTAATATATGAGAATTAATCTTCATATTAGGAAGGAACATCATACAATTCTCCACTAAGTCTCTTTTGTAATGCTGCTCTCATAATCAAATACTAAATGACGTCTTTTTGTTTTATGTTTCACCAGCAAAAATAACACTTTCTAGTTTAAAGCACATTGTTTCTGAGGGAGACACTTTCTTTTTAACATGCCAGAGTGATGTGAGCAATTATGACAAAGTCATTTGGAAAATTCAAAATGGAAGGACTATTAAGGAGGTAGCCAGTATGTGGTATACCACCACGAAGAACTCCAGAGGTGCCACATCTGTGCTGACGGTACCCAGTGCAAACCAGGGTTGGACTGGTGAGTAAAGACATGAATCATTTCATCCCGCCACCATTCATGAGAAAAATAATTTTATAAATGAAATAACTTATTCACTAAAGCTGCCTTTTCAATCATTTCCACTGCTTGACTCTGCATTGCCCAGGGTCACTTTATTTCAATTAGGCAGCCTTATCAAACAAACAAACAAATAAATGTATTGCCTTTAGAGGACGTTAATGGTGGCTGCTGCTGCTGCTGCTGCTTTAAACTTGCCTGTTGTTAATTTCTTCGGTATTAAATTTGTTAAACCTGCTGATTTTATTGTTCTAGGCACCTATATATGTACCTTTTCCCAAAGTTTTTTGAGCAGTTCTGGAAACACAACGATTAAAGTCATTCCTTTGCTCCGGGAACAAGAGATCATAAGAGATCCCATAGAGACAATCATTTCTTGTCCAGCAACAAGAATTCTGGAATGCTGTACAAGCCGGATGGAAAATTACACTGTTCATTTTTTCTCTTATGATCACAATATGCCTTTACACTTTATGGCAGGTAAGCAATCATAGGCTGGGTGGAAGAAGAGCAAGACTGTTGATGAATAGCTAGATATCAATTCTCCTGGAAACTTAATGAGGGTTTGGCAAGGTCAAATGCATCTGTTCCCCCTAACTGAGAGAAGCACAATCAGCTTCTACTTCAGTGTTTCTCACCTTTGGCAGCTTTAAGATGTGTGGACTTCAACTCATGCTGGCTGGGAAATCCTGGGAGTTGAAGTCCACATATCTTTAAACTGCCATGGGTGAGAAACACTGTTCTACATCTCTATAGCAGGGGTTGAGCACGCTGAGATTCAGCAAAAGTGCCCTTAATGGCCCCCACATTCTTAATTCCTTAATGTTGATTAGTTTTGAAGGAAAAACCTGCACCAGGGGTCTAAGCTGAGGAAGGCATCTGGATGAAAAGAGGACTAAAAGTCCTAAACTTTAAAAAAAGTTTAAAAGACTAAAGTCTCAACTGAAGCTTTCAGAGCCTTTTACAAACAGTTAAAAAGTAGTTTTCTCAGAGCTTTAACACAGAATTGCCTAACTATATATGAATACATCTCTCTTGATCAACCTGACTAATATCTGGGGTTAAGGGTGGAGACTAGCTTCTTATCCTGGTTGCTGAAACCTTAATCCCAGTTTAAACAATTTGTTCCTTTACAGAGAGAAGAAAAAGATATAATCTCAATTGCTACTATTACGTACAAAATTTCACAGATGTTCACTGCAGTTCCAAAGGACATGCTCTGCAGGTGCATTGTATGTTTAGGAATCAAATCAATCATAATGTGACAAGTCGAGCTATGGTCCTAAATTTTATTCCAGGTAAGAGAGAATGCCATTGCATAAATCAGTCACTAATGTCTGCAAGTCAATCTTATTTTACTTGGGCGTTATCTGTGTTGTGATTGTTTCTAATACAAACCACTAAAGTTTGAAAGACAGATAAATGAGAATGATAACAGATTATTTTGTTCATACTGGGTCTTTTGCATTTTCCATTTTTCTCTGAGTCTGAAGACTCTGCTTTCACATTGTAGAAAAATGGGGGGAGGCACTTTTTCTGCTCCAAAGGTACCTTGTTCTGTACTTCCTCATTGGAAAGCAGGCCCTACATAACTGTGTTCTTAAACAAGATATCCTCCTTTAACACCTAAAAGATAGGTTTATTGGGGGAAAAAAATCTTCATAATCAGCAACTCCATGAACACTTTTATTGGCGTAAACTACAGAATTTTTCAGTTAAAAACAGTTTCTTTTTAGTGTAGTGAAATGCATGTTTTTTTTTTTTCTCATATGTGTGATGGGAGATTTCTCACTCCAAAAGAACTAGACTTAGTTTTATAAATCTGTAAGGAGGCCTCTGTCTCAGAAACTAAGACGTATCTTTTTAAAATCTTTTTTTCTCACAGCAAAGAATGTGACATGCAATTCCTTGGACATTGGTGTGGGAGCAGATGAAGCACAGATCATAAAGCCTTGCTTAAATTTCCCTGGGACCAATAACTCTGTCAGAGGAAACATTACCTATAAATGTGACCATACAGAATGGACTGTTCATAAAAACAGTTGCCTGGCCGGTCCCATCAATAACATCTTGATTTCTGCTGAGGTAATCATGTTCTAGTATGCCTGGTGAGCTTATTCCAAGTCAGGGGATCTGAGGTCTATTGAAACAAGGAGCTCTGAGAATTTAGGTCAATGGATGAGGACTGAGTGCACTTTCCTTTAGTTCTTCAACCTGGTAGTTAAAGCTAAGTCTTTTCTGTCTCACAAGGAAGACTGATTCTCTCCTTCTAGCGATGTTGTTTAGAATTCCCAATAGCCTTTGGTCAATGGCCAAGAACATAGACTCACTTTCCACTTCATTCCAGTCTCTGAATAACTGGGAAGTACATGTAGTCCTTGGCTTATGATGGCAGTTGGGACCAGGATGGCCATAGCTAAACAACATGGTCATAAAGTGCAACATCACATGACCTTGTCGCTTAGCAATGGCAGTCCCGGTTGCCATCAATGAGCGAGGAGCGAGTGGGTCATTGAGCAAGGACCTCATGTGACTGCGACTTCCGACTTCCTGCTGGCTTCTCCATTGACTTTGCTTTTGGGAAGCCAGCAGGGAACATTAGAAATTGTGATCACATAACCACAGAATGCTGCGACATTGTAATTGTGAGCTGGGTACTGAGCAATCACATTACTGCAGGGATGCTGCAATGGCCAGAACTCTGAGGACCCATTGTGCGATGCTGTCATAACTTTGAATGGTCACTGAATGAATGATTGTAAGTCGAGGACTACCTGTAGTTCAGCAAAGTGAGCTTATGCATAAAAGGAACTTAACAGGATAGAGCATAATGCTTTTTCTTCATTTTCAAGACAAATTCTCTTTCTCCCATATGTTCTTCCAGTACTGTTCTGTTTCTGCTGTTGGTGGTGCTGCTGTTACTATGTTGTTGCACTGCAGTTTGGGAGTACACCTTGGATGGTTCTTTGGAGAACAGGGCATTTCATCTTCTTGGCCTCTTCTTCTCTAGTGTATCTCCTTAGCCTGGTAGCCAGCACTGTGAGCCTTTGTTTAGCAGTCTCTATGGAGTCAGGCCCTTGTATTTTTTCAGTAGTCAAGTCTTATCCTTAATCTCCACACCCTTCTGTAGTTCTACCAGCTGACTAATTTCTCCCCAAGTTGCCTTGATCTTAGCCTCCAACCTCATTTTCAAGGGGGATTTTGTGCTGCTGTTCTTCTTGATTGTGTAACCAACCATCTCCAGGATTACAGCAGCTGTAGCGTATACCAGTTCATTGGTTTGAGTTAGGGTGGTAGTAGGGATTGTCATGAGAGCTCTATTGGTATCTTCTAGCATACTATCTGATGGTTCTTCTTCACTGAGCCTTGGTAATTGGTCTTGAGGGCTGACTGTAGCTAGTTTATCCATGATCTTATGCCTCATATTAGCTGCTGTGCTCTATAATGGAGGGGGTGGCAATGACGTTCCAGCTGCACATCCAGTTGTTCTTCTGGGTGTTCTTGAGTCCAGGATGTAATGTGTAGTTGGTCTATCTCAAGTTGTGAGAGCAGCTTCTTCTTCACTATGTTGAAGCATTGGATAACTAGCTGTTTCTCAGTTAGTGTGGATGTAGGTCTTCTGTCCATCCCTAGTTCCCTCCTACATTTCATATATCCCCTCTCATTAGGTCTACTGTTATAGTAGCATTCCATCAATTCCAGGTTCTCTTGTCTCGTCCATGTATGATTTGTTCCAGTAGCCCACTTATTGTCAGATTGTCCTGGTTCCCCAACATCTGGTGTGGACCTTGTTAATCCAGGTGATGTCCAAGCTGGCATGACTCTTTTAGTTCATGTCATGAATATGAGGTAGGCAGGTGAAGCGTTAGGGGGTCTTTGCCCAAGGATGCTTACTGGTAAGATAGGTACCAGCCAGGATTCGAACCCTAGTCTCCCGCATCAAAGAGCGGCACTCTAACCACTACGTGATCTAGCTGAACTTAAGATAGAGCATAATGCTTATTCTACATTTTAAAGCCAAATGTATATACACGCACACAAATATATACATACATATATCAGTAATATATTTGCACATCTTTGCATATACCAAGAAATATCAATGTTCACTTGAAGAGTGTGCTGGAATTCTGTCCTAGATCAGGATATACCCTGAATTGCCTCCCCTAGTTTGGCAGTTGAATTCAGCTTTTTCCTTCTCGCTCTCTATATTCCTTGTGAATTTGAAAATGGAATCATATGGAGTTCCATTATCACAATCTCCCTAAGAGTTAATTAACATGTTATTTATTTATTTATTTGTTTATTTATTTACTTACTTGCAGAACCTACATGGCTGCCTATCTCATATAATGATTCTAGGTGGCTCAAAACAATCAATAAAAACAGAGATAAAAACAAAAACATCCTTCCCCCGGTGCCAGATTGAACAGCCTCCCAGGTCAACCCCCATCCTAGTCCAATGCTTGGGGGAAGGCTAAAAGGATAGGGATCCCTCAGATCTCAGGTGGGAGGCTGTTCCAAAGGACTAGGGCGACCATTGAGAAGGCATGCTTTCGAGGTCCTATCAGGTGACAACATTTAAGGGAGGGGACCTGGAGCATGCCCACCCTACCTGACCTAGTAAGATGGGCATATACCCTCAGGCAGAGGTGCTCCCACAAATAATCTGACCCTGTGCTATGTAAGGCTTTAAGGTAATAACCAACACCTTGAGTTGCACTTGGAAAGCAACTGAGAGCCAGTGAAGCTCATACCGCAGTGGTGTAAGTGAAGTGAATTGTTGGGTACCCAAAACTGCATGTGCTGCTGCATTCTGGACCAGTTGCAGTTTCTGGATGGTATTCAAGGGCAGCCCCATGTAGAGCTGCATTGCAGTAATTGAAACAGGAGGTGACTAACGCATGAGTGATTGTGAGCATGGCTTCCCAGTCCAGGAATGGGCGGAATTGGTGCACAATATGAATTTGTGCAAAGGTCTCCCTGGCCATGGCTGCCACCTGCTCTTCCAGCAGGAGACACAAGTCCAGAAAGACCCCCAAATTGCACACCAGATCTGTCTGGAGGAGTGTTGCTCCATCCAGAGTCAGAGATATCAACTCTTCTGACCCTGGGGAGCTAAAAATCCACAACCACTCCATCTTTCTAGGGTTGAGTTGCAGCCAATTTCTCCCCACCTAGGCCCTTACAGCCTCCTGGCACTGAGCCAGCACCTGAACAGCATCACTTGCCCAGCATGAGGTAGAGATGTATATTTGGGTATCATCAGCATAACAATGATATCCAACCCCATAGTGCTAGATGACCTCTCCCAGCAGCTTCATATAGATATTAAATAGGAGAGGAGAGAGACCCAAGCTCTGAGGCACCCCACATAACAGGGATCTGGGGCTGGATCTCTCCTCCCCCACCAGCACTGATTGGTACTGACCGCAGAGATAGGAGGAGAACCACTGCAATCCTCCTCCACTCCTCCCACTCCCAAGCCCAGAGCCAATCCAGCAAGATACCATGGTCGATGGTATTGAAAGCCACCAAGAGAGTCAGGAGAGCCAGGACAGAGACACCACCCCTATCCTGAGCCCTAAGCACATATTCTTTTTTCTGTCTTACTTACACTCTAGCCATGGGCAAGCAAGGACAGAACACTACGTGTTGTCACTCTCAACGTTCCAACCAACCTGCTTTATCTCTCCCACCTCCAGCTGATCTTTAGCCCAGAAAGGAGAAAAGAGCCATGGCATCTTCAAAGTACAATATCTCTTTGTCCCAATCGGTGGCAATCAGACATTGATAACTGGTGAAGAAACTTAAGTGGTTCTTCATTGCCATGTCACAAGCAGATTTTCCAACATTCAGTGCGTCTTTCCAAGCAGCTAAAGCTGTTCAGTTTATCTGATGATCCAGCCATGCCATCTAATTTGTCTTTAACATATTTAATTCTAATTCTAGTCTTTGGCCTCCAGTCCAGAGTCACAGAAGAACTTGCCAACATTCCTTAAAAAAATGAATGAAACCACCAAGGAGGCACAGGAGGAAATAAACAATTCTGCTGCAAACTTAAATGCTGTCCTTGAAACCTTGACTTTAATATCAGCCATACCAGTAGAGGCAAATGAAGAGAATATGGCAGTAAGTGGCAAATGACTTGGGGGTACCTTTCTAGTTATGTTTCTTGAAGGGACTTAGTATCAGTATTGGAAGTGGCATAAGGAACACAGTAACACTTTTTTTTTCTTACCTGAAAAGCCTCAGGCTCTCTACAGAAGTCAACGGACCTTGTTAAACAACTTTTCCCATCAAGGATTTCTGAGCCTTCTTTTCAGTACTTTCTCCAATAATTCCTAACTGCTCAGTTGGTCTCTGCCAACTCTACGGAAGCTCAAGCCGCTTTAATACATTTTTCTTTTTCTTTTTTTTTTTGACCATGCCCTTTTTGGGAGTGTGATTTCTGAAGGGTACATATGCATACATACATACATGCATACTGATCAGCAAGTGTGTCATTCAGAAACACACTTTTACCAGGTGGGAACAGGAAGCTCCAGGACTGGGGCTGACTGTTGACAAGGTGAGAGCATTGAATAGAATTTTTGTGTTTATAATTTTTTTCTATTTAATGTTCCTTTTTGGTTTAGGTCATTTGAAATTACAATAACTATTACATTATGATGTAGCCTTAATTTGGGGTGGATCATCTTAAATTCAGGATGAATTTGGTGATAATCTGAAAATCAGAGCAAAGTTCCAATTTTGATGAAGAAAGGATTAAATATTAGTAGCAACCTTACATAGACCCTACAGTGTCTTATACTCCTAGATGCCTAGTTGTTGCTAATAGATATTAATGGATAATCCTTTGTATAATTTTCCAGTGTTATAATATACTAATGTATCTGAACCTAATTTCAAATATGAGAAGAATTTTAGACTTCAGCACTAGGATCTTTGTGTTGGAAGTTGGTAAATGGATTGAGATAAACTGACAGGAAGAGGACTTCCTAATGCAACCTGATAATTTAAAAGAGTTATTATTTTCCCTTTTTTGCAGAACTTTGGGTCTACTGTAGAAACCATTATCGCCAGTCCAACAGAAACTTGGAAGCATGTAAAGAATGGGAGCTCTCAATTACTTGCTTCAGTAGAGCGATTTTTAGGATCCCTCCAACCTGTTAACCAGACTGTCCCTTCCATCATACATGACAGCCTTCAAATCAAAGGAACAGTTCTTGGCAAAAGCAATATTTCCATTTATAATAGCAGCTTTGCTTTTCTCCAGTCCGCTGGCCTTAGGGGCAACGTGCTTATTGATGATGCAAAATTTGATATTGAGAAATCAATCACTATAGTCAGTGTGGCTTATTCAACAATTGATCGTATCATTCCACAGTACAGAGAGGAAATAGTAAATAGTTTAGTGATGGCAACAGTAATAAATCCCCAAATAAATGAGGATTTCCAGATCAAAATGACGTTTGCAAAGCATGAAAAGGCCATGAAAAATCCACAATGTGTCTTTTGGAATTTCAGTTTGGCAGAAGGAGGAGACTGGGATAACAGAGGCTGTGAAACTAAGGATGATGGGGACAATGTCATTTGCTCGTGCAATCACACAACTTCATTTGCCATGCTGATGTCTCCCCACCTGGAAAACTCATTGGATGAACTGACTTACATCACTTACATTGGCCTGAGTCTTTCTATACTGAGCCTGATGGCTTGCATTGGAATAGAACTCTTTGTGTGGAAATCAGTCACCAAAACCAGAATTGCCTACATGCGCCATGTCTGTATTCTGAACATTGCAGTTTCTCTCTTGATTGCAGACATCTGCTTCATTGTTGTTGCTGCAATGCATGACCAAAATTATGCAGTGGATGGGAATCTCTGCGTAGTAGCAACTTTTTTCATTCACTTCTTCTTCCTTTGTGTCTTCTTTTGGATGCTCGCTTTGGGACTTATGCTCTTCTACCACTTGGTCTTTCTTCTCCACAGCGCAAGCAAGACTATCATGAAAGCCATAGGCTTCTGCTTGGGATACATCTGCCCTCTAGTCATATCAGCCATCACAATAGCTAGCACTCTTCCATATTCCTCTTACACAAAGAAAAAGCTCTGCTTTCTCAACTGGGAGGAAAGCAAAGCCCTCTTGGCCCTAGTGATTCCTGCCATGATCATTGTTGCTATTAATACTGTTGTTACTGTTGTAGTTATAGCAAAAATATCAAGACGTTCAATTGGGGAAAAATCCATAAATGAAGAAAAGAGTGCTTTGTATCGAATTGCCAAGAGCATTGGTGTACTGACACCGCTGCTAGGTCTTACTTGGGGATTTGGACTGGCCACGGTTATTCCAGGAAGCCCAACTATATTCCACATGTTATTTACCATTTTCAATGCCTTTCAGGTAAGTGGATCAATCATATAAGCTGTTTGGAATAGTCAGATGATGAAAACATCATTAACATTGTCTTGGGGTTTCTCACTGCCTTATGCAGGGTACTTAATCTAAACTGAGGGGTGATTCAAACAGTTCTTTCCATAACATGCAATCTAATGCTGTCTGACTTCACTGTCCTATAGAAGCACAATGAGTTTCTGGAAAACCACACTGTTCTTGCCAGTGACAAAGCTAGTAGACCTACCTACAAAGTCTTCAGTTGCTCGCCTCTGGAATTTTGGTTTGGCGTAGAAATGAGCCAGACTACTGTTCCAAATAAATAAATAATGATAATTATCTCAGTTGATTTTAATTCTAACTACTGTATACTTTGCTAGTCCAAAACTAAACTAAATAAATAAGTGAGGGAACAAAACTGGATCCAGTGTTTGTAAAAAAAAAAAAAACACTTCTGATCTCTAGGTCTTGAGAACTATGGGCAATTCTTTTCCCTTTTCCTGTTTTCTAGCTGCCTGTTCTGAGAGGGTTTGTTGTTTGTGGATATTCCAAACCAGGGAGAGATCAGATCACCCATTCGTATTCTGAAAATTTGCAACCAAATCTCGTTTTCAGTATGAATCAATCTTCTGGTTATCACCCCTTTTAAATTTTGCCTCAGACTGTTTGCAATTGCCATAAACTGAGTATAGGTTCTTTTTCTTGATACTCTTCTATTTCATACTTCTTCATTTGTAATTATACTAGAGGGAAATCAACACTATTAAAGATTCTTTGTGCACTAGTGTAAGGATTGAATATGTAATTTCAATCTGTGAATATTTTTCAGGGATTATTCATTCTGTTGGGTGGAACTCTCTGGGACAGGAAGGTAGGAACACAATTTTAAGATATTTACTGTTTTGTGTGTATTGTTTTATCATATAATAAAACTGTATGCAGACATGATATTGCAGACATGATTAAATAGTCATGTTCATTTTTGTTTGAAACATGCAGGTACGAGAAGCTATGCTGAATAAATATTCCTTATCCAGGTGGAGTTCACAACACTCAAAGGTAATATTCTTTCTAAATAAAGGGTTGGGTTCAAAGATACCCTTCTACATGCAGGAAATGACTTGTGTCCACAAAGGGGCCGTACTATACAGTATCTTGCTTTAGCTACAGCAATGCATGGAGTAATTAAATCCAAATATAGCCTTCCACCTGTGCAAGTGGAAACATGAGAGGAATTTGACACTTTATTTCTGCAATTAGGAGATGAAGGTCACAAATTAATCCATGCTGATTTGGAAGTAAAAGCAATTGTTCTGAAAGAGGCTTATTTGTAATAGGTGTAAGTTATTGGCAAGCTAAAAGTGTACAAGTAGAAGTTGTAATAAAACCTCACAACATCTTTTTTACTAATATATGTTTCCATTTTGCAGTCAATGTCCCAAGGCATGTCAGCTCCTATGCTTTCCATCAATTCGCCTTTTTCAAGAACTTTAAATAATTTGTTTGGTAAAGCAGGTATGTGATGAAAAAATATATGACTTCAATCCATTTCCCATTGTTGTTACTTTAAGTTTTTCCCCCCATAATCTGGATCCCTAAATGTATATTTTATAGGCCAACCAAGCTCCTAATACTTATGTTGTTTACAGAATTGCCTTTAGAAACATAAGAACCTCATTAAGTCAGGCCAACTAATCCATCCTAAGTGCAGGATCTTTGAGACTTCATTATCTTATCATGACAAGAAGCTGCAGTCGTCATGTCTGGAAACAGCTAAAGATGATAAATGATTCTCTGGTTTAACTCCCCAATATGAGACCTACCAGGCCAAACCATGTGGGTATCTTCATTATCTTTGGGTATTTCCTAGACATGGTTGTTACTATCACACTTAGAAGGCAGGCATTAATATTGGGAACCAAATTGAGAAGGTTTGTGGATTGCAACTCAGGTGCACCATGTTGACAGGCTAAGAATTGAAGAGTATTGTGTACAATAAATTAGAATTTACTGTAACCCTACATATTTTAATTCTGATAGTCTCATGCAGGCTTATTCGTGTTTTCTTTGGTTTCCTCTTAAACTCAAAGAACAGTTAATGATTACAGGCAACTAGTCCTAGGAACTGTTTTGTGCTTTATACAAGTCACTGAGCAACACTTTTTAAATACCATTATACTTCTCTATTCTGCAGGAAAATACCAGGTCTCTTCTACAGAATCATCAACTGTATCTTCTGAAAACACTTCAAAAGCATATTCTTTACTGACATGAGCTCATAAATATCTGCATATTTGAAAGAGTTCAAGTATTTTTCTGGATCAAGTAATAACTACAGAATAAATAGAGAGTAATGGAATGATGGCTTTGTGGAGTGTGGAAAGGAAGTGGCACATTCCTTAATAAATTATTTTTTTCAGCATACCACATGATGAACAGAAGAATAACTGAAATCTTTTAAGCTAAACATTCAGTGACATGGGCTCTAATGTTGTTTTACAGCACTATTTATTTTACAGTATCTTTCAATGTAGTCATGTTTGTCTCAATCCGGTGATAAAAATGGACCAGTGGTGGGAAAGACATATCACAGCCAAAGAGCAAAATATGCATCCAAAAAGTTATGTGTGTTCATATAAATTTTACTTGCTGGATAGAAGCGTTCGTTTATTATTTTCCTGAAAGTGAAGAAATTGCTAGTGCAATCCTATAGATGTCAGTTCAGAAGTAAATGTCATAATTTTCAGTGGCTCTTTTCATTCCCTGGTACATCCTTTTCCAGGGCAAAATCCAATACAAACTCACCTGGGAAGAACCCCATTGAATTTAGCAAGACTGGCTTCTGAGTTAGAGCAATGGAATTGCACTGATCACCTTGTAAATAAACTGGAACATTTGTGCTGTCAGCCTCTACAGAAACAGAAGCACTTTATTTTTGTATTATAGGAACATTTCCAGTTTTGCTACTTGTTTTACTAGGGGACAAACAAGGGGGAATTTTGTGTGTAAATATATATTTATGAGGATACTCAATAAAACTTGCTTGCCCAGAATTTATTTTGAATGTCTTGCTATTCTTGCATGGTTATCTTTATGGGCTTCTGCAAGAACTTTTCTGGAGAGAGGAAGAGGGGGCAAAGCTGCAACGTGGGATATAATTATAATGTATTTGTGCCCATTTTTGTTCTGTGCATGCCTTGTTAGTGTTATATTCCATGATAAGACAAATACAATACAGAAGACTTAGGAAATATTGGGCATTTTTTTCATGTCCACCTTCTTCATAAATCTGACAATTGACCTACTTTGTCAGAAAAAGGGATCCATGTAATAGGTTTGGTGTCTTTCTCAGTCCCATTTGGAGTGGCTGGGACTTAAATCTCAAACTTTTTGCATGCAGAGCAGAGCCTTTCCAAGGTGAGCTTCAGAACCCCTCACTTCATCTTGAAGCATTGGTGAGCCTTCCATAGAATCTGTGGCAACTGCTTTTTGCAACAGGGATGAGGCCAGGAATTGGAGGTGCACATGGTAACACTATGCAAATTCTCCACATTACAAAAGAGTGTCCATCTTTTTAAATAATATCTGTACACTGGTTTGTTAATGAGTAGATGGAGAGAAGCAAATAAATTCATTTTTAGAGTATAAAAAACTAAAAGGGTAAGAGCGTATTTCAAAAAGCTCCATTTAGTGACAGCACTTAGTGAATCTTGTTTGATCTCAAAAAGTTAAGCTGAGTCAGACCTGGTTAATACTTGAATGGGATGCCACGAGGGCTGTAGGCTAACCTGGAAAGCTGAAAAAAAGAAAAAATCCCAGAAGGAGATGAACTCTCAGGGACTTCATAGATGGATGTCTATGAAGCCCCCAGGAGTTGAGCTTGATATGAAGGAGACTTTATCTATATATTTAAGAAAGAAAAGGATTTATGCAACATGATTTTTTTTCCTCCATGCCTTCACTACTTCTAGATAATTCAGATGTTGTAAGATGAGATTAAAAAAAAAAAAAGCATTTACTGTACCACACTTTCTTGGCAGAGAAGACTATAGCAGGCCCAGTGGCTTCTTACACTGAGAAACGGTCAACTGATTATCATGTAACTCAGCCTCTTGATTTACATGGCAAGCCAATGCGCTTGCTATTAATAACACATCTTCCTGATCTTTGTTGGTGAGAATGCTTCACCTCCAAAGCATAGCAGCCAAGCAATGAAGTAGAAAGGATACTGAAAGGAATAGCTCAGTGGGCCTTCTCTCTAGGACACAGCTGAGCAGTGGAAGTAGCTTTGCACTTCAGTCAGGGAAGTAGGCCCTGGGAAGTTAAATAAAATTTATACCCTACAACCTTGCATTGGACTGCAGCCTACAAATGGGGGGTAGGGTGGGAAGGACATTATAGGAATGGTAGTCCAGATACCATCATCCCATCAAAGAAAATATAAATCAGGTCTATTGTCACCATTCATGAAGTGATGTATGATGACAGTCCTAAAATGTTTCTCAGAGAAAAGCACCAACCCTCCTGCTACTATGGAAACCATTATGATGATTATTGGAAGATTTCCAGCAGCTCCACAGCCAGCAAAAGATTCCAGTGGATGGATGCTACCTGGCATTTCATGCTGTCTAGAGCAGTGTTTCTCAACCTTGGCCACTTTAAGATGTGTGGACTTCAACTCCCAGAATTCCCCAGCCAGCATGCTGGCTAGGAAATTCTGGGAGT